ATGTAAACTATTCTTAGTGTTACATACACTAATTAGTATATTAAGGTCTCGTTTGGGAAGGATCGGTTTAGTCAAAAAGTTACTAAAAAAGTCAAAAAGCCAACAATCCAAACCAAAAAGTCAAATATTCTTTTTTTTTTTTTACTTTTTACACATCTTTTCGTAAAAAGTTAAAAAATCATCCTAAACATACTAGTTTTTTTTAGCTCATATTTTAGTCAAATAGTCAAAAAATTACTAAATTAGCATGTTCCCAAACGAGGCCTAATTAGTGTACTAATATTAGTTATGACATTATTATTAACTCTACTTATTATATAAATTACAAATATTAAAAATTTCTTAAACTATATAACATTATCAATTGATACACTAATTAATATATTAATTGATGCATATAAACTATATAGGTTGTTATTCACTATGAACTACTGTTTTGTGTTTGGAAAGTCTAATAATGTACAGTATATATGCACAGTCCATACTTTGTACCATGCACTATCCATATTTTGCACCATGCATAATATATACTTTGCACTATGCACAAGCTCCATTTGCACCACGCACAGGTTCCATTCTACTAGCGCTGTGCACACAGGCTCCACTTGCAAACTTTTTAGCATTCTCAAACGTAAGGCCAAACACATGCTAAATTTTGTGTTTTGGAAGTTTCATGATTTATAGTAAATATGTGGATGGTTGTTCATATCCATATTTTGCACCATATACCGTATAGATTTGCTCCGTGCAGCGGTTGCAGTTGCACCGTCCACACAAGCTCCATTTACAACTTTTTTGAGAATCTCTCCATTCACCGGTGTTGCATACTATGAAAGCTACATTTGTTTGAATAAAAGGCAACAGTTCACACCTTCAAACTCTACTTGAGATTTACTCGATCCACGTAGAGAGGGCGCATTGCGTGAGTCTCAGAATTAGTCAATATGTGCGTAGCTGACCCGAACACCTGGTTATCAAACAAAGAGAGAAAAAAAGAAAAAAAAAAAGATAACTGTCCATAATATTATGCAAACTAAATGAATCTCAATTTTCATACAAACTTAACTACAACAATAATCATCCATAATAACTTCTTTCACATTCATTAATTATCCATAAGTTTGCTCATGATGCTACTCAATAAAAGATTTAAGTTGGATAACCTACGCATGCACAATAAGTTTAACCATGATAACTTGTTTAGTAATGAAATGACAAATATAAACATCCTTCTGTTACGATATAGAACCACCATCACTCCATCATAATCTCTTATATACAACCACCACTTGAACTATTGTTCCTTATCCAGGCATGGTTCATAATAGGTACTCATTGATTGTTGGCCTTCTCAATGATATCATCTCTAATATTATTGTCCGAGTCTGTGACCATTTGAAATAGCAATTGTTGTGCCATCAAGTTTATTCGTCCCCAGGCTTGACCATAGCCAAGCTAGATGGAGCACTTGTTTGGATTAAATCGATGCACTAACTGAGTCAAAAACTCCCTTGGCAAGCTCTCACATCGCAAGTTAAGCAATGATTCAAAGCCAAGAAGTGTAATCGCATTTTTTGCTTATCACTCAATGCTTGGTTTGTATTGACAAGTTTCTTTGATGAGCACCTTGTCCACATCGGGCTAATAAATAAATAAATAAATACGTTTACAAGACGTCATCAATACATCATATAAATAATTGCACCAAACAAACCTAATGAAGAAGTATCAATTGGCATTGGTAGTCTCCTTACCACAGTTTTAAAGTTCGCACCAATACGAAAAATTGTATAATATATATATATATAACAAGCGACAATAGCAGTTTATTTCAAAAAATTAGCTGAACTTCATTTTTTCACAAAGTAAAATTCATTAAGAAGACACTTCCTATACCTTTATATGTGACATTTAGGTTCATTCAAACATAATAATAACAAAAATAGTGCAAATGGTGTCTCTGCATGGTGACACAGAAACCTGTGTAGGGTGCAAGTCTGAAATTCATAGTTGTACAAAATTCTGCAGAGTAATTACAAGTAGCCATTTTGAGTGTAATCCAACTAACAAAACTTATGTAAGTAACAATTACAAGCTATAAGTGTAATTACAAGTAGCAATTACAGTTGCAATATGGCTAATCATAACTTTATATGTTCCCTCCATCCCAAAATATTAGTCGAAATGGATTTTTAGAATTTTGATCAGCTCTACGCTTGGTTCCTCTCTCCCTTTTAGGGAATCCAATTTTATTTTTATTTTTATTTTTTATTTTTTTTATAGTGCAATTATTGCACTTCAAAAATATTAATTTTTCAAAACTACCCTTTGGTAATACAATTATTACACTTCGAAAATATTAATATTAATGAATTTAAAAGAATGACAAAATAAGAAATTTATGTTATTTTAGTCCTTAATTTTTGAAAATTGACTAATATTTTGAGATAATAAAAAATGGAATAAGAGACTAAGGTAGCGTTTGGTAGAGTTTTGTAAATGTGATTTGAGAGTATGAGTTGTATTTTAAGTTTGTGTGTTGTGGAATTATGATTTGAGTGTAGAAAATTTGTTTGGTAAAGAGTTTTGAAAATAGTTTTGGAAAAGATGTTTGATTTGAGTGGAGAATTATTGATGTGACATTTGATATGTGATACAAAAATTTACAACTCATAACTAAACATACAATCAAAATTATTTTAAAGCACATAAAAAATTTAAAAATTTTCAGAAAATATTTGTCCCGATTATGTAAATCAATTGCAAAAAAAAAAAAAAAATTTAATCTGGAAATCAGCCGGACATCCGGGTGGACATCCGGGTGGTCTACCGGGTGGTCTTCCTTTGGACAGAAAACACGCCTGTGTGCACAGAGTTCTTTGCAGAGAGTGTAGAAAATTGATTTGAAAACGTAACCAAACATCATGCTCCAAAACACACGTAGAAAATTGATTTGAGAATACAAACAAACAGAGCCTAACATTTTGGGGCTGGGGAGTAACAATTTCTAACCATTCCGACTCAATTTTATGAGCAAAAAAATTAAGAAAAGAATAGAAACACAAATAATTGTACATGATGGGTCATTTTATTTATTTATTTGATAGGTAAGAGTGTTTGTGGATCCTCTAATTAGCCTTTAAATTCATAGCCAAAATAAAAATAAATAAATAAAAATACTATTTCACAGGGGTGGGCGCGGATCGGTTGCGGCCACGAAACCTCCAATCCGCCATCCGTCCGTCAGATTGGCAGATTGAAGAAAATCAATTCGCATCCGTCCACCAATCCGGCGGATGTGGATTTGGCGGATTGGCGGATTAGTGGATAGATACGAATCGGTTTGACGGTTTGAAATTTTACAAATTTTCAACATATAAAAAAAAAAACCCTCCCTAAACAATGCAATATTTTTTCATTCTTCACAATGTGGCAACAAATGTTCATTAAATGTTTTGTTTTACATTGTTGGCATTATATTGGAATTACATTGTTGGCATTATGTTCATTAAATCAAAACAACCTGGACAGTAATGATGGCATTATATTGGAATTTTTTCCCAAATGGAGGTTGTCCAGAGAGTAACAATAATCAGCTCAGTGTATGTTTCAACCCTATCTGTCTATTTATTGCATGCAAGAAAGATCATCCCTTTTTCAGCCCTTTTCACATCATAGATATTTCCACACTACAGCAGTCAACCATAACATACATAATTCCAAACATATCCAATAAAAGATAACCAGATGGAAAATGGCATACTAGTGGAGTGGAGTGCCTCACCACCAACATACAAAAGTATGATACCACAATCAACAATCAATCTATTAATCACCACAACCAGATAAAATCAATCTATTTTGTCTACAGCACTCCATGTGTATGATACCACAAATTTTACTAATTTTACTAAATCATAAACCATGTAAAATAATAAAACTATAAAATTTAAAATAAATTTCAGAGTTGTGCAATGATAAAATTACATATAAAACATAAGGAAAACATTGCGCATTCAAGTGACAATCATCCAAGAGTTCCAAAAATAAAAAAGTTATAGTCATCCAACAAAACATTGTGCATCCAAAAAAAAATAAGTTGTAGTCATCCAAAAAGAAGCAAAAAAATCATTCATTTCCTTTCACCAAAACCATGAGCCATGTAAACCTACATAACAAAAAAATAAAATTATTTAATAAAGAAAATACTAAAAAATCTTAAACTTAAAACAAGTGAACATATGTTAAAAACATTTAACCAAGGGGAAGTATTTTACCAATGATATTAAATTTCAATAAAATTACTCTCCGGACTTGGGCTTGAACATGAACTTGATTCCGAAACAACCACACAAAAAACATAACACAATAAAAATATGTAAAGTGAAGATAATGAATTTTGACTAATACAAAATAAATTAAATGGATAAAAAATAAGTAAATCATTGTATAAATTACCCGAATCATATTGTTGTTCAAATTGTTCAACATCCTCCATTGCTTGTCGAAGGCATATTGGAATGTTACTTCGAAGCCAATTTTGTGTACAAACAAGAACTTCCACCATCTTGGGAGCAAGTGAACTACGAAATGGATCAAGTATACGACCTCCTGTACTAAAAGCCGACTTAGAAGCAATAGCGGAAATAGGCATTGCCAACACATCTCGTGCTATAAGTGATAATACTCTATACTTTGTTGCATTAACCTTCCACCACTCCAAGATATCAAATTGAGCATTATTCCCAACTTTCTCAATATCACCCAAGTACTTGTCCAATTCCGAGATACTCCCACTACTAGAAAATTGCCCCTCCAAAAATGAGTTAAATTGAGAGTTCACAATAGAGTATGGGTCATTTTCATCTATCACCATATCTACTCTTTCATTTACATTGGAGGCATGCACATTTGTTGAATCAAGTGTGGCATAATGATCATACAATTGACTCAAGCAATTTTTCACCTTCTCTAACATTTCTTTCACTTTCACCCCATCTTCACCAAAAATTGTCGAAAAACAAAATTGCAAGTATGTCATTTTTTTTTCGAGGATCAAGCACAACTACAACATACAAAAGTAGATTGATTTTATCCCCATTTTCCCAATACTTGTCAAACTTCTCTTTCATTTTCTTTGCCATTGAAGACAAAATAGGATCATTGTCTTTGATTAATTGTCCAATCATATTTTCAATGACAAAAATTTCAGTGTAGAATGTGTTTGAAGTAACAAATAAAGACCCAGAAAATCTCTTTGTGGCATTGTAGAACATTCTAAGAAATTTCAAAAACACCCTACAGTTATCCCAATCCTCGGCTGTAGGCATCTCTCTCCTCTCACCCCCTTCATTATCCAAAAAGTAGTGTTTGTAATTGTAGTCCTTCTCACCCATTCTTTGAAAAACACCGTCAAATTTTTCCGCCGCCTCCAACATAAGATATGTGGAATTCCACCGTGTTGGCACATCTAGGCACAAGAGACTCTTACTCTCAATTTTCAAACTTTCCACATACTTTTTAAAAGTGTCAAGGCGGTTTGGAGAAGACCTCACATACCTCACTGCATGCCTCACATTCGCTATACATGACTCAAGATCCTTCAATCCATCACTAACAATGAGATTTAGAATATGCACACAACAATGTATGTGTAAAAATTCATGGCCCAAGACAGTTCCTTTCCACAGTTTTGTGGTTTGTTTCAAGAATCTAATGGTTAGATTATTGGAACTCGCATTATCAACAGTTAAGGTAAAAAGGCCATCAATGTCCCACTCTTTTAAGAGTGCCTCAATTTTTTTACCAAGAGTTTCTCCTTTATGGTTTTCAACTTGACAAAAATTTATGATCCTCTTTTGTAACTTCCAATCATCATCAATGAAATGTGCAGTTAGACACATATAACACAAATTTTGTATGGAAGTTCATGTGTCTATGGTAAAACAAGTTCTACGCCCCTTCCATAATTTTCTTTAACTTCTCCCTTTCATTGGTATATATGTCTAGAATGTCCCTAGCAGCAGTATATCGAGATGGGATCTTGAACTTGGGTTGCATGACATTACAAAACCTCTTAAAACCAACCCCGTCCACAAATCTAAAGGGCAATTCATCAATTACTATCATCTCCGCAAGATACCTTCTAGCAACTTCTACAGAAAATGACGTAGCCACAACATCAACAACACCCTCCCCACCAACTTCTCTAGGTTTAAATACCAATGATTGTTGCCCATGAGTATCCCTATATGGATATTTTGTACAATTTTTCGAATGACTTAACAAATTACTTGTTCCATGACTCTTAGAACCGGCCATATATTCTTTCTTACAATACCTGCACATAGCCCTATCTTTCCCATCAATGCCCTTAATCTTTTCAAAATGATCCCAAGCCTTTGATGTTATTCTCCCACTACTACTACTTGTTTTGGCCAGGGTGGTCTAGGAGGAGGAGCATTAGGTTGGGTGAAGGGGTCAATAGAAGATGATTCGGGCTAACATTGGGACGCACAAAAAATGTTTCTTCACTTGAAGGATCCATGACCACAAGATTATCAAATATACTACCAAAACTAATAAAAATTCATTCAAAATATGCTTTTCAAATACATGGTCTAACAACAGAGATGCTTAACAGAATTTCAACAGAATTTCAATGTCTTTTTATCAACTCAATCAAAGGGGAAAAAAAACTAGTTTAATTTCTTTGAATATGTCCTCTCAGTAATCAAACAAATCAATAAGGGAAAATAGTCCACCTGATTGAAACAAGTTTATAATTGAGAATTCTAATTACAAAGTGATTGAAACAGAGTAGTCAAGCCTCCAATGATATCCAAGTATTTATGCAAGGCCTTATCAAAAAAATGACTAAACAAAAAAATGATTTTTAACACAGACCCAAGTAATTAAACAAAACAAATTTTCTGGTGTTGTCACAGACCCATATCCAAGTAACTAAACAAAACAAATTTTCTATTGTTGTCACAGACCCATATCCAAGTAACTAAACAAAAAAATGATTTTTTTTTGTAGTTGTCACAGACCCATTAATTTTCTGCTTATATTTCTAACCCAACCAAACAAAACAAATTTAGCTTCTTCTACTAATTTTCAATTCCTTTTCTTTTCACAAAGCCAAAATCCAAAGCATCTAAAGTTCCAAAACATAGCAAAAATGAGAAGGGAAAGAAGAAATCTATCCTAATATATACAGTAAAGGTTGCTAGTGCTGCTGGCACTTATATATAAATTATTAGAGCATATAATATATATATATATATACATATATATTAACTTATGTTTGTTACTTTTGTCAAGCAGATTCTAAACACTTCCATTTATGAAACACACAATATACATATAATATACAGAGAGAGATATATGTATACCTTCTATCTAGAGAGAGAGAGAGAGATACCTCAGTGACAGTGTAGATTGATCGTCGTTCAATGCAAATCGATCGCCGTTCAAAAGTGTAGATCGTTGGTCGTTCAGTGTAGATCGTCGGTCAAAGGTTCAGCGTGTAGATCGTCGCTCAAAGGTTCACCATGTAGATCATCGGATGATGGGTAGGGTAGAGAGAGAGAGAGAGAGTTTCTGCGTGTGTGTGTTGGGTTTGTTTGTTGAGTCTGTCAAGAAATTAGGGCAAAATCTAAAGAAAAGGGGCCTGAGGCGTAAGGAAAAAGTGAAAGAAAAAAAAAATAGTCACGGGCGGGTCGAGTCTACTGGGTAAAATGGCGGATCACCCACCACTCGACCCGAACCCGAGAAAACTGGAAAACCAGGCCCTCACCCGTCCGCCAGAGGTTACGCATCCATTCATCAAGTGTCGAGTCAGGTCGGGTTTGGTGGGTCGGTGGATCCGTTGCACTGCCCTTTGGTTATTGGCACAAATGGATATGAAAAATGAGAAATGCAGATTGCCAAATCAAGCCAAAATGAAACAACTATATTCAATCAGACATTTCAACAAATAATTCCAATACATTGTGCAACATTTCAACAAACAACTCTACTTCATTGTGCAACTCAAATGAGAAATCAAAAAACAATTTTTGTTTTTGTTTTTGTTTTTTTTTTTTTTTTTTTTTTTTCTGAAAAGCGTCAAAGAATATTATTAAGTATAAACAAGAAAAGAGAAAGAGGATAAGTAGTCCTCAAACAAGAAGTTTCAAAACAACAACAAAAACCAAAAATAAACAAGAAAACCAAAAATTAGGAATGGCAAACAGCAGCCCAATCCCTAGAAATCAAGAAAAATGGAACTCCTTTAAAAGTTCTAGATATAAGAGCCCAAAGCAAAGCTAAATATCCCACCTTGTCCTATAATGAGTCAACACTTGACTCCTTCCCTTCAAAGATCCCTGCATTCCTCTCTAGCCATAAGGATAAAAAAATAGCACAAACAATACAGGACCACAAAGTTTTGGCTCTCTGGCTGCCTCCAAACCCTGCAAACCTAAAAAAAAGCATAAGCAACCCACTGATCATCGCACAAAATGAAAAGACACTGCCGTAGTGAAAGAGACACCAAATAGTGGAGAAATAAATGATCCACCAATTCCATACTACTCTTGCACATCACACACCATTGAGGATAAAGAAAATTATTAGGCCTTCTCCTTTGAAAGAGATCATTGGTCAAGACACCTGCTTGAGCTAAGGACCACATGAAAAACTTCACTTTATGGAGAACAACCGTTTTCCAGATTATCTTGTGAAGAGGAAACAATTAGACAGAAGATTTATCAATAGTTATCAAACAAAGACTCGCATGAGAATACGCCTGAGGGAGTGATACTCCAAACCCTTCTATCACAAGATGAAGATAAAGAAAGAAGCCAACTCATGAGACTCTCTATTGCTTAAATTCCTAAGGAAGTTGAAATTCCAAGAGATTGGTGCCACATTAGAGCATGCCACCGACGTTATGGACACATTCCGCTAATAGACCAATCTATAAAACAACAGAAAAGCTCTATCGAAAGAAGTAACCCAAACCACACGTTTTCCCAAAACTGAATATGAACCCCATTGCCCACTCTCAAAGAAAGGAGACATTATAGGATAAAAATGTGATATGTACTTCCAAGGAGACCGACAATTGCCTCTATTAACCAAGAGATTGGTGCCACATTAGAGCATGCCACCAATGCTATTGACACATTCCGATAATAGACCAATCTATAAAACAATAGAAAAGCTCTATCGAAAAAAGTAACCCCAAACCACTTGTCTTCCCAAAACTTCATATGAACCCCATTACCCGCTCTCAAAGAAAGGAGACACTATAGGATAAAAATGAGATATGTACTTCCAAGGAGACCGACAATTGCTTCTATTAACTAAGAGATTGGTGCCACATTAGAGCATGCCACCAACGCTATTGACACATTCCGATAATAGACCAATCTATAAAACAACAGAAAAGCTTTATCGAAAAAAGTAACCCCAAACCACATGTCTTCCCAAAACTAAATATGAACCCCATTACCCACTCTCAAAGAAAAAAGACACTGTAGGATAAAAATAAGACATGTACTTCCAAGGAGACCAACAATTGCCTCTACTAACCACATTAGAATCTCTACCATTGTTCTGAACTCCATACTTGCTTTTAATGATGGAACACCATAGTGACTCGCTTTCACTAGAGAATCTCCACAACCATTTGCTCAAGAGTGCAATGTTCCTAGCAACAAAATTCCTGATAACACGACACCCTTTCTGCCTAGGGAGGGAAACCACCTCCCACTTAACTAAGTGATCATTTTTACCCTCATCACACCCTTCCCAAAGAAAGTCTCACATCAATTTCTCAATTTTCTTTGCAATTCTAACTAGAATCTTAAACAAAGATAAAAAGTAGACAAGAATGCAACTCAACACTGACTGCACCAAAGTGTATCTCCTCCCCTTAGACAATAACTCTCTCTTTCAACCATCCAACCTTTTCCCGATCTTGAAAAGGAGAGGGTTCCAAAAAGACTTCATTTGAGGATACCCTCCTCATGGCATACCCAAATACTTAAAAGGGAATTCCTCAATGGGACAACCTAGAATGGCCGCCATCCTTTGCACACAACTTTGCTCCAGATTAATACCCAACACACTGTTCTTACTAAGATTGACCTTGAGACTGGAAACAACTTCAAAGATTCTCAAAAGCATTAACAAGTTGCCCACCTTACTTTCCTCATTTGATGAGAAAAAAATTGTGTCATCCGCAAACTATAAATTAGTCACTAGGATCATATCTCTCCCTACCACAAACCCCTCAATAACACCCTTTTCCTTCGCTAAATCAATTAGCCTACCCAACATGTCAACTACTAAAATGAACAGAAACGGTAACAAAAGGCCACCCTGCCTTATCCCCTAGATGCCTAAAAAGAACTCCCAGCCTTACCATTAACCATAACCGACATATTGCATGACGACACACAACCCCAAATCCATTTTCTCCACCTATAACCGAAACCTTTCCTTTCCAAAATGAAATCAAAAAAACCCCAATCCACATGATCATATGCTTTTTCAAAATCCACCTTGAAAATAACACCCTCCTTATGCAATCCCTTATACTCCTCAACAACCTCATTGGCAAGTAAAATTACATCCAAAATTTGCCTTCCATTCACAAATGCACCTTGTCAATGAGAGATTGTCTCTCCAAGAACAACCCTAAGCCTTGTGGAAAGAATTTTTCCCAAAATTTTCTAAAGCGAAGTAACCAAGCTAATGGGCCTAAAATCCCCAATCTTAACTAACCTCTCTTTCTTAGGAATTAGGCAAATGAATGATGCATTGGTGCGCAAATTAACTTCCCCACTCTCAAAAAATTCGACGAACACTCCCATTATGCTCGCTTTTGTGTATTCTTCTAAATGGAATA